AAAGCCTAATTAACATTTTGAATGAAATGTGTTTCTAAGAGGAATTTTATGAAAGTACTTTTGTGTCTTTGTTTGCAGAATAAAGACACAAAAGTACCTTTATAGGATTCAGAGGTTACAGTGAAATGAAGTGAAATACTTCTTGTTTGATTTCATTTTTTTCTGTCTGGATTTTATAGAATAAGACAATTCACATGAATTCTTAGGATCTGCAGTGTGCTTTCTGTGTTCACCACTTAGCCCTGATGGTTATATTTTTGGAGTAGTAGTATTTTAAAAAGTTTGGGTACTATAAACCTGGCACATGAATACATAAAAAGGGGACTGTACATCCATGCTTCACCCTGTATAAAAATGAAGCTGAACCTCTTCTAATTCCTTCAAAATAAAAAATATAATAATAATAATCATCATCATCATCATCATCATCGCTTTTATTGGCCAAGTATGTTACACACACAAGGAAATGACAAATTTCACATTTAGCTAATGATATATTGTCAAGAACATTGGTCTATATATTTAACATAATCCCACTGTTTATGCTATTATTTAAGGAGAGTCAGTCCTATTGTACATCCCCACTAAAATAAGCAGTTATGAATTTTAATAACTCACATAAACCATTTAAAGTCATAATTGGATCAGATTCTAGCAGTTCTTTATTGAGTATTCGATACATCCAGTCAGACTCAGAGGCCCTTTGTTCCACGGGGAATCCAAGGAGATAAGAAGAAGAAGTCAGACTCAAGGCAGGACATAATTCTTGAAATAGCGTGTATGACATTCAGATGTCAGAAGGCTGGAATAGATATTAGGCTAATTTGGATTCCTGTACATATTGAGGTGGAGAGTAATGAAGTAGCAGATGAATTTCCAAAAGCTGCACTTAAAAAAAGAGATGTGTGTGTAGCAGTAAATTATAGTAAGGCTGATATTAAAGGTTTAATCAAAAGTAAAATGAAGTGGCAGAACTATGGGATAAAAAAGGCAAGGGCCGGTTCTATTACAGCATCCAAAGGAAAGTAGGAGAAATGAGAGGAAGTCCTAGGAATAGGAAGGAAGAAGATATGATTTCAAGAATGAGGTTTGGTCATACTGGTTTGTAAAGTACATTGAGCTGGATGGAGAAGGGAAGACAATTAGGAAGAATAGGAATGTGTGAGCATTCAATTTGTCATTTTGTCCTTGTATGGGAGTGTAGGACAGATGTACAATTTTATGAACATTTTCTCACTTGTTTCTAAAATATAAAAGATGTGTGGCTGCAGGAGAAGTAATTAGGTCTTTGTGAATGTGCAGGCTGGGTTCCTGTGGAGAAGGACAACAAGCAGCACTGCTGGCACTTCTCCGCGGTGGATTACGAGGTTGGGGCGGCCCTCGTTCTCAGGCCTGATGATGAAGACCTGATTGAAATCACAGCGGTTCCATTGGCCGACCTCATGGAACAAACTGGAGCTCATTGGAACCATTGTCATGGGGAACCCTTATGGTAAGGTGATTTCTTCTTTAATGTATGTTAAAATCTCTAGGGAGGGTTGTTTTTAAGCAGAAGTCTAACACATTCACTGCTGAGGCTTGGATAGGCTGTGCTTAAGACTTATTTACTGTACATTCAAACTGGTACAAATCTTTAACCTGAACTCATTTTCTGATGTGCATGCATGTGTTATGTGCACAGTTTTTGAAACATTCTAGTCATGCTTGTCACACTCCCGAATAGTGTGTTGTGGGTTTGATAAACTCAAGTTATCAAATAAATGTAGTGGAGTAAAAAGTTATGGTAAGATGTGAAGAAGCAGAAACTAAAATGAAGTACAGATGCCTCAACTGCACTTGTGTACAGTGCTTTTTGAAGAAGGTTTGAGAGAGGAGTTAAGGAAGCTATTTTTGTAAAAATAGAACACCCCTCACTAAATAGGGGTGGTGGACTAAGACACAACTTGTCATCCATCTACAACTCAGTTTTGAGATTTCTGCCCAAACACGCCCACCAGGACAGTAGGTGTCGGTCCACAGGTGAGGGCTCAAAGACGGGTAACGACGCTCACCGATACTGGGTGAGTCAGTCGTTAGGGGACATTGTTGGCCTTCAAAGGACTGAAACATCACCGATGGGGATAAGTATCTCTGGCTCAACGCCAGTCGGGCAGAACTGATGAAGCCTCTTGGATGAGAGGTGAAACGTCTTC